ACTCGTCACAGCAAATCTTTTACAAGCCAAATCACCACTTAATCAGCAACACTCTCCTGTTCTCGATTGGTTGTTGCTAGAATATACGGTAATTTTGTGTGAGCGGCCCGCCTCACTTCACAGTTTGTGTCGACAAAGTCGACCATTTATTATGCTCTAAATTCAAGCCAACCACTAATAACTCGTTGATCTACAGTTTACCAATCGGCGATGAACCTACTCATTCCATTAGGTCAGTCTTCATTTAGTATTGTATTGTCATCCATTGTGCTCTCATTGATTATGTTACTGCCACTGTTCTGATCCTAGCACAACTCAATCGCTGGCACAAGTTGCATTTTATGGCTACGCACCTATTCCGCAGGATATCTTGCACCTTCTCATCTCGACCTCGTATTCCAGCTATCTGCATACTATACATACCTCTTCCTATTGACTGCTGCACTCTGTGTGTCTACTAATGATCTTCAGCCAAGTGCTGCCATCCCATAGGCTCCGCACACTCACAGATCAGCTATTGAACTCTGGATGGGCAACAATATTCCTTACCACTTCCGCCGCACCTTACTTCGTCGCCAGCAGTGTTCAATATCACTGCTTCGCTGTTATATCACCATAACACTGTCGTATAAGATATTACACCTTTTCCAGTGCATGTATACTATCTCTGCCTATCGGACACGTCACTGCTTAAACATTTTTCTCTTCTGGTCTTGCTACCACTTTTTCGCAGCCATTGCACTGTTATTGCTGTACAGACGGCTCAGTTACTTGAGGTTTGGTAGGAATTATCATAAAAGCGAGCAACTTCACTATAGTTTGAATAGCGCTTTTTCACATTTGTAGCCTTTACTCTCATGCTGCGGCAGAATGCGCCTTATCTTCCAGAGCAAATGACGGTGCCAAGAAAGCGAACTGTCTTTCAAGTCATTTTATTTGTTTGCCATTTTTGCTAATAAACTCGAATTGTGAGCTAATACTATAGTCAGGACATGATGGGAAGAAGTAAAGACGTGAAAGGAAAGGTTTCACTGTTATACAAAGAACATTTTAGACGAACCGAAGTGTACACGCAACAGGAGTGGTCTTTGGAGTGCAAACGGGCATTGAACCCAGTCAACTTGAAGCTGTAGTCAGCACCACAATATTTAACCTCCTTTTTACCTCCTATTATTTTTCATTGCTGGCTATTATATGAAATACTTGTTTCCGTTGATAGGTGACTGCTGATGGCACCGTTAGGTAATAAATAGACAGAGAAAGGCAGCGAAAGGTTTCCTTTAGTGGTGCAGTGGGGAACACGTGAGATCTCGGAAACAGTAGTCACAAGTTCGAATCTACCTCAGGGATCTGAGTTTTGGAAAAATTTTCCAACAGCATATTGTTTATGTTTCACATTACACTCTCTCTTGAAAAAGTAATAGGAAGTAGATAAAAAGTTGTATATTGTAATCGTAAATGAGTAGTGCGGACACAACAAATCTACCATCAAAGCAATACTATTTGAGTGACGGTGCATTAGTTTGCGAGTTAAAGTGATATGTTGAAGCGCCCAATGTTATTCTACATGTTACTAGTTGATCACCTTTATCACTCGTTGTCCCGTTGATAGTCGAGTGACTCGTACTGAAGCCAGTAAATCTTCTATTTCTCCTTGTCGCGTGCAAGAGTAGCTCAGTTTGTTCTGCACGCTCTAGTAACGTGTTGAAGATCATACCGTTCCTCCAGGCTCTTCATGAAGAGCTCTTACCATCGGCTCGGTGGTTTTCCTGCAGTACGTTTGACATTCAGAGGAATCCAGCCACTAACGGCTCTTGTCCATCCTTTACCGTTCGTACGCAGTACGTACCCCGCCCACATTATCTTCGACTCGTCCTAATCAAAGCCGTCGTCAACTCGGGGCTCCTTCGGGGCCAGGGGAATGAGGCCCGTTTCTTTCAGTGTGTTCAAAGTGTGTGTCCTTTTTAAGGACCACGTATAGCTCTAGCAGAGCTTCGAACGTGGAGGCTGGTTATTGTCAAGGGCAGCTTGCCCGTTTCTCCCAGAACGGACATGGAGCTTATTTGTTTGAGAGAACTCCTAACCGCCTCCCATACACTTCCCAGTCATTTGACTAAAAGCTTTTGGCAAAAATGATCAGTAGAATATAAAGGGTAAAGGATAAAGCTCTCGGCTACGATCAATCCCTGAGGGAGGTGCCATGTATTCGACTTCATTAAGCATCGTTTAGAGATGATTAAATGCATATTTGCCCTTTACAATGACTCGACTTGGTCTACCGATGTAATGAACCAGTGCTGCTCTCCTCCCGGACAAGTGTGGTACCGATTCGCCGACCCCGGAGGAATGGAACGCATGGTGGATCTTGGGCACGGAGATCGATTCTCCGTGTGTGTTGCAGGGCGCCTCCGGCCACTGCGGCACGCGCGCACAGAATATAATCCACATGAACGATAACACACCCACGAACGCCTGCATGAATACGCCTCGTCAATATATAAAATAGGGTAGTTGATAATAGTTCCTTCACCTGCTGCTGAGTGCTCATCGTTGTTGCTAGAAGCATTGACATTTTCTACGAAATATTTCGAGAAACAGTACTTATAAGAGTCATCGTGACGTTTTGACTTCAACTTCACTCAATTATGCCACGTTTCTTTGGTACTAATAAAGTTGACATTTAAAAAAAAACTTCGAACTCCGATGTTTTGTTTTAAAATCGTGCCTGATCCAGATGACATTGATGCCTGACATTACAGTTTAAGAACGGAAGTCTCAGTGCCATGACAAACCCTCTGGAGTTTCAACGGGACTATGAACAGAATGAAAGAGAAGTAGAAAGCAGCTGATGAAGCACGGAGTATGCAAATGTCGTAGCAATAGAGAAGTTGCGAAACAGTGAAATGACCTCAATTTTACTAACAGAAAAAAGCAAATGCTGAAAGCAAGGCATAAGCAAGGCAGTTGCATAATTGACAAGTAAAGCTCAGTTTCGTGTAGAGTATATAGCTTCAACATTCAAGAAGTGCAGAAAAATTGCTTTGTAAAATGAAAATAGTGGGTTTAAAGCTCCCACATCTTCTAGTGAACAGAAAACAGCAACGCAGCAGTGAAGTTTTGGCGTCTAGGCAGCCATTGATTGATTGGCGTCATGACGCTGTGCGGACGAGTTCGTCTGTTTTGTGCGGACGAGTTTAGCTGTTCTGTGCAGCCGACGAGAATTGGCTCGTATTCGCTAGATAAACGACGAAGTGCGGTTGGGAAGTGTTACGGATTAATAAATTTCATATAAGTTTAGATATGATTACCTGAACTTCAAAGCAGCAAGCGTTACTTCATTATAACAGCACGAGACTGTTAAGTACGACTTCGATTTCTAACCGCTAAAAATATGCTCTCATTTCCAGACTTTTCATTGTATATATGTTATATTTATGTATGTACATGAAAGGGGCGCGTGTGGCGCAATGGTTGGAGGCGCCACTGCGGCACGCGCGTGGAATCGATCCCCGCGCCCATGGCCTACCAAGCCTTCGATCCCTCCGGCGCCAGCAAATTGCTACCACACTTGTCTGAGAGGGTAGCAGTGGTGGCTCGATACATCGGTTGGCTATCACGAGTCATTGTAAAGGCCAGATATGTATTCAACCACGTCTAACTATGCTTAGTGAATTCGAATCCATGGAGCATCCCTCACGAATTGATCAACGCGGAGAGCTTTTTTATATGCTATACAGTCTCTTTCACATGTGTTTCAACTGTCAAGCTTACGACAGCAGTGCTGCCATCAATTCGTTTGGTTTTTGTTAATAAAGTGAAGTCCACTTTATGATTCCTGTATTGCTACGACTTCTGTGCACTCCCTGCTCCATCAGCGATTCGCCGTCATAATGCTTAAAAAGTAACAATTGGTTGCTGACTTAAATAGGGCATTGTATCCCTCCCTTACGGAAAGGACTATGCAGTTCGTTCACCCCCAACATGCTATACGACGTTGTTTGCCATACTTTGTTCGTTGATTAAAAATATGGAGGGTTAGGAGTTGTTACATTTCGTACCCGTTTCATTGTTCTCCTAACTAGTTGCTATTCGTTTATTGTGCATTGTGTACCATCATAGTTAGACTTTGTTCAATTGTTTTAGTTGTGTGTATATTGCCGCTACCGTTTGGCGCTTGTTCCTACGAACTTCTGTTTAAATATTCTATGCTTTCTTCTACTTCCAGTTAGGGATCCAACATCATTACACGTGCTACAGTTCATCATCCATCAGGGCAAACAGGTAAATGCTTTTCCTACTTCTCTTCCATGTTGTTTTTACTTTGTGGGTCTTGTCATATTATAAGCACTTCCGTTCTTAAACTGTAATGTTTTAAACATTCTCATTATTTAGAGCCAACACTAGTGCATCAAGAAGAAACATCGTAACCACTGAGTGTTATTTCTGTGCGGTACACCACCGCACTTGGACACGGAGAGGTGGCGAATGAGGATAACTAGGAAAAGTTTAGTACGTAGTTAGGTTTTCGTTTTTTGTATTACAGGGAATTTCAGATGGTAGTTGGTTACAGTCAGTGCTTTGTCATTGCGCTGAGTATCTAGGAAATAACTTACAATATTCGTAACTACCAACTTCCATTTGACTTCGACTTGAGTAGCCAATTTTTTTTTTACATTCATGAGCTTGCACGAGGTAGATGTGTGGTGTTAATTGCGGCTAACGGTCCGGAGCATTCGCGCTGCCCAGAGCTGTAATGACTCGAATTTTGTATTCACAGTATTTTTGCCTATATCGTGTACACCCATATGTAGAACAAAGTAACAAGTAGTAGTCATCTTTGGAACTGCTTTATTTTTTGTGTTGAATTCTCCTTAAAAACTGTTCCGTCTTTGTTGCGTGCAATTCCGTGCTTTGATATGATAGGTCACATATTTCTAAAATCCAGAGATCCTCGTTTATCCTTATGAGCTGGGAACGGTTTAATTATATAGATTCCAAGTATGGCTGGAACTGTAGTACGCGACAGAACCCTCAATGAACTTTGCTTGGTTAACGACGACGACGATTCCGAACACAGTGCTGAGGAAGAAGCATGTACTGATTTGAGGTGAGAATATGCTGACTGTTCAGTATGTACTTTTGGCTTCTTCACAATCCTACTTGTTGACTTTTTTGCTCATTTATTACGTTTCATCGATTGAAGTTTCTAGAGTTGAGAATAGCCTACAATCAGCTACCTTAACAATATGGTTATTTAGAAGAGGGGACATGTACGGCAATGTGGCGTGTTACTGTCAAGGATGCAAGTAAGTATTTAAATCTTTCCTTTCAATAGATCTTGCTAACATTTTGTTTTTCATGGTTTAAGTATTTGACTTCTAGTCACCACATGGCTTCTAGGCACATAGAGGTTCTGTTGCAGCTACCTGGATCTATTCTCGGTCGGTGACTCCATGACAGAGGTATTGTGAAGTTAGTGTTGTTTTTCAGTTTTTCATTGTTCCTTCCTTTCCTAATAAGAAGTGATTATGTGTTTGTGTTGTAGTTCATGAAGAAAATGTTCTTACACCCCTCTGATTGTATCGGTTGTTGTCACGTGAATCGAGGAAAAATTACGTTTGTCTAGTAGTTATCCCAATATGTCAGTGAGAATAAAACACTCCATGTGCGCATCTGAACCAGTTCTGTTGTTGCGATATAATGAAGCAAATGAAAGAGGTTTCTCACATCCTTTCAGAACGGATTACCTTAGCGAATAAGCGAATCTCTCAATGTGGCCCGCTCATATGGCAGTTGAAGCGGAGGATACTGGACCATGCAGTGCTCCCATTAACTCGGCGAACACCCTTGGATCCAGACATGCGAGGTTTCTTCTTATGCCAATGGTATTGTTTAATACGATTCTGCTTAGCGTATTAAATCCACCCGATCTATGTGAGAGAGTATTCTGATATATTATCAAGGTTTTAGACGACGATATAAGTGGTTTAAAGCGCTATTTTCAAAAACACCAGTGAAAATTTTGACAGTGAGGATTGATAGTTGTTTCCGAACATACAACGAGAGAAATCACATCGGTGACCAACTTCTTTTGAATGCACTGTGCATCATCTATATCACTTGTAATTTTGTTGGTGTTAACTACATATTACTGGATAACATGTGTGAAGTCCTCTCGATGCCTCGTTTTTTCGTATTAGTGTATTTTCTGAAGTTTCTTATTCCAGGATGTATGACAGCAAGATGAATTTGTCCGAGAGGGTGTTGCTTGTAATCTATTAGCTGTAGAGAATGACTCTGATGGTTTCAGTCCTATAGTTTTGATTTTCTTTCGATTCGCTGTTAAACTACAAGACGTGTTGAGACAGAAAAAGCTCTGGAGCCCACTAGGTGCGAACACTATAGTGCTCATACGAGTGCCGGAACTGTGTGGTTAATTGGAAAACGTATCATTAGGATTTAAAAGTGTTTCCCCAATAAAGTTGACGTTGTGATTTTTTAGGTGCGGTGAATTTCCAAATTTACGGTGCCCCAACACCAAATTTTGGTAATTTTTCTATCGGTGCGCGTACTCGAAGCATAAAACGGATTAGTAGAAGGGCTTTTTTATGCTCTCCAGCATTTCTAGTCGTGACCTTATAGGGCTCAATGAGTGCCCTCTCGATCCAGCAGGTTACTTTGTAGTAGGTGGTCTTGAAATGGTGGCAACAATGCAGATTTGTAATTTCTATTCCTCTACCGTTTAGTTTTAGCTTGTTCACATCATCAAAAACTTGCACATTTCCAACATTTCTCTCCGAAAATATTTATTTCTTTTGATTCATTTAGGTTCTAATCGCCCAGCAGAAGATGGCCTCACATACTGTTTACGTGTTTTTGTTTAAGGAATGGAAAGATGCGCTTAAGGCAGAATGCAGGCCTTGTCTTGAAAATTCAAGGTACGCTTTTTTGGCTAATAACGTATTTTTCTATATTAAAACATCGCTGAATCCTACTCGTTCAACGTCGACCATGTGGGTCGACGTGTTAGCTACGAGTGATGTAGGAGCCGAGATAATTGCGATGGAGAAACGTGTTACAGATGTTCTTCCTTACATCAAATGGTTGCCATACCTACTTGGTACTTGGATGGCTTGTCCTCGCTTGTTGTGCGGTCTCCAGTACAATCTCCACCTTTTGGAGACTTGCCTGTTAAGCCATTGTGGTTCCTTGGAATTACCGACGTCAGCCTGCCCACTGCCTCAGGTCTTCACCACCACAGGCAGTCACAGCCTTTATGGAACAGAGAGAGATTTGCCACCATTAAACTTTAATACGAGGATGGTGGTGGTTCTAGCTATTGGTTTACTCTTAGCTAGGCTTCCTCATGAAAACGCTGGACTCCCTATCAGTTTGGAAGACTCCGTGATGGGGATGAATATCCCCGCTGTAGATGGGAGCCGGACACCCAGTAACACCTCCCAGCCACGATGAGGCGGTAAACCGTTGGGAGGGGTATCGTCATAAGGATCTTTAATTTTTGTTGGAGAATGATTTTTTATTTTTGTTGGAGAGTGGTGAATTATTTTTGTACCGTTTCAAGGAGGAATTCGATCATTTTAATCTATTTGTCACATCACAAGCAATCGTATTTTTTGAGCTGTTTTTTAACGTTTTGATTTTAAAGAGATTTCTGTAGAACTTCGTTCCGAGTTCTTGGTTCTGCCCGTTTTGTGATATTCTCGATCACATAATATATGATTTCGAGGTTTCCGAAATAAACGAGAATTGAAGCAGTCACTGGATGATGCTTTTCTATCCAATTTGTTCGGCTATGGATTGGTATATGTTTTTGGTTGAAGGTTTCTTGTTATACCAGTGAGGTTGAGTCGGTAGTAACAGTTTTTTTTTTATTATACTGACCAACCGTAAATGCTCTTTTGTCACATTTTTCTAAAACTATCTAACAATGTATATGCTATGCAGTGCCTACCATCTTATGTTTGAACTGTCATTCTTACAACCGCGTTACTGTCAGCGTTTAGTTTTACTTTTCTGCTGGTAAAATCAGGTTTGTGTCTCAGTTCCTTCATTAATACGACATCTATACATTCTGTGTTTCGTCTTAGATTGGCCGTATTGATATGAAATGAATAACAAAGGGTTGCTGATTGAAAATTAAATATTGTACCCATTACGTTGTAACGAACCGTGCAGTTTCCTATCGCTAAGATGATAGACAGTTTTTCTGCAATTCTCAACACTTTCCCCGTTGATTAAAAATCTTCATGACTTAGGACATAGCAAAGGAATTGGCACTCGTATAAACTGACTGTTTTATTGCTGCACTTGCTATCCGCTCTATGGTTCTGGTTTCCAGTTGGTATACGTTCAGCGTGCATTTCATGTTGCTATAGTTCAACATTGTTTAATTGTTTTGTATGCGTATATGTTGCAGTAATCACCTGCTGTTGTTTCTACACACTTGTATCTAAACGTTCTATGTTTTTTCCTATATCTAGTGAGGCGTCTGAGATCACTTCACCTGCTCTGGATCTGGCTCACCTGCGGAGCAGAAGTGTAAGTGGATTTGGTACTTCTCCTTCATTCTGTTTTTACTTTGAGCGCGTCTTTGATATCAACATTCTGGTCTCTAGACTATAATTTTTAGACATTTTTATTTCTAAACTGTCTTAAAGCAATAGCAGTGCTTCGAGCAGAAAAATCTCGTCCACTGAGCGCTGTTCGTGAGCGGTGAACTACCTCACTTGGCCACAGAGAACTGACGAGTGCCTAATCCATTGATTTGCTTCAGTGAATCCGTCATCGCGGGTACTATTCCACTGCGTAGATTTCCGAACGCATACTATCTGACGTCTCATGGAAATGTAGGCTAGTATTATGCCTATTCAGATGCACAAACACAAGGTTTTCTTGCTACACATAATGTGAGTGAAATAGAGGGATGAATCTTTACAGTGCTGTTGGATCACGGACCAACCTGTCAGAAATGTGACTAGTGTTTTGTTGAAGTTCATACTTTAAAATTTATGACGCCGCTAATTTCTAATTTTTGTCTGGTTGTGCGGGCTTCAGCACAATCTCCATCGTTCGGAGATTTGCTGGTTAAGCCATTGTTTTTCCTGGAATCCAGAGGTAATCGTAGCGAAAGTCTGCCCCAGTTCTTGGCCACCGCAGGAAGATGCGGCCTTGTGGATCGGAGTAAGATTTGCCACCATGCGACTTTGATATCAGGATAGCTGTGGATCCTGGTATTGGTTTACTCTTAGCTAGGCTTCCTGATGGAAACGCCGGACTCCTTCTCAGCTTGGGAGAGCGTGCCAGGCGTGGGAGAGGGGAATGAGTACGCCCTCTGTACATTGCAGCCCGACACCAAGAAGCACCTCCTAGCCAAGATGGGGTGGTAAACCGTTGGGAGGGTTCTGTCTGCTAGGCATAGTATTGTTGTACAAGTCTTACAACATGGTTTTATGTAAACACTTATGGCTTGAACGTCTTTTGTCTAGTCTTCACCTACTCGAGTAGTTCCCGTTTTCATGATGTGTCATTGCTGGTCTCGCTTAATGCATATGTACTCCTGCATTCCTTTGTTGTTCTTCCACATGTTGACCTTCCATTCTTGATTAAGGAAAGGGCTACATCCATGAAATCCATGGGAAATATTCCACGTACCATCCGACTCCTATTACGATCTTGCAATACACAATCTTTCCCCTCACTAACGCAAGAAATTTATCACGGCATTTTCTTTCATGCTTCTTCTTGTCCTTTCCACAAAGAAATCGTTCCATTTTCTTTTTCGCTCTTCCTTTTACTGTTTTATTATAATAAATGTTCTTATACCGGCATTGTCTTCTTTCCGTTTCACCCTTGTTCAAAGCTTTTTTTAGGTGTTCCTTCGCACTTTTACCTCGTTGTGGTGTACTGCAGTGTGAATAAACTTTCGATTGTTGTCACAAATCTGTCATTAAGTCAAAAATGGATTCCCAATATCCACCCAGTATATGTTGCCTTCTAAATGTGGGTAATATCTGCTATTTTTAAGCTGTCCTTCTAAGGAATATTTTTGCTTCGTGATGATCTACCACCATTTGGTTCTGGAAACTCGAAATGACTGACTCCTTTGCGGTAACGTTTAAAATATTCTATCTCAAAGCTTTGATATTATTATACTATTCTGCATGGGAACCGCTGGAAATTTTCTAATATGAAAGTTTTGATGGAAAACTGCTTGCGAAAGGACATTTGATTCCACTGTTCCGATGTCAAGTGTTTTATTTGTTTATTTTGTTTATTTATATGACACGTCTTCACATCCGCTGTGCAGATCCCTGCACTTCTCACATTCGATTCTTTTCCTCGCACCCATTGTTTACGACGATCTTCGAACTTTTATGTGTGGTTTCTGTTGCTGCTTGAGGATTTGCATTTTATCTTGAATGTCGTAGATTGCTGGTCGAGCAATTCTCCCAGGAGTCCTGAGATGGTCAGGCTGGAGCGCTCCCAATTTTATTGCACAGAGTGATTTTTTACCAGACAGGTCTGGTACCAATTTCTCCGGAGAAATGAAAGGCTTGGTTGGCCTGAAGCGGAATCGAACTAGCACCATGTTCGTGACGGACATCACTGACACTGCACTATCCATTTCCTGGTCTCAAGTGTAGATGTAGGAATCTACAACATGATAGAATCGAAGACCGAAGAAACGTTTGGCTGACAAGGACCTAATATCTGTCTTTTAACACTTCCTTAAGCCTTGTCGTTAAACGAATGGTCGTTCGTTAACTTCATGTAGAAATGAATTTTCTTAAGAGGAATTGTGTTTGAACTAGCGAAGTACCATTAGTTAAGGCCATGCTCCTACTCTGGTGTTATTTGATGTCGAAAGCCCTCTGAAGATTGCTGCTCATAAGCTGTTCGACGGTGACGACATCTACAAAATTCGAAATGCTCTAAGTACGTCTTCGAATAGATCGTCAATATCATGCAGACTAAAAGTGCGTACATGAGTTTTTCTTCACGACTGCCTTTATGTCACGTAGTAGAACAGCGCAGCATAGGTTGTCGTAGTAGGAGCAACAATACGCTTACTGTATTACTACTCATAACTGTCTGCTGCATTGGTAATAAATTGTTCAACATTCATAGCGAAAATCTAATTCGGTTCGCTGCTAAGTTGTCGCTAATTCCAAGTCCGTTACTTGCTCGTGCAGCAGACTCAGTACAGTAAACGAACAAAGCACGCATTAATTATGAATATTTTTTCTTACAGATGGTTTCACGAAAGTTCATTCACCGAATAGGTAGTACGTTATTCCATTAGTATTCCAGCTAATGCATTTCTCACTAGACGATTTCGTAATGTTCTGTTATTCTTGATGGATTTCGAATATAGTATGCGACGACGCTCAGGCAACTGAATGCACACAATAGATGGACGAATAGCGACATATAGCCTAATGGTGAAAGAACCCATTTAACAGATACCTAATCATTGTTCCGACTTAGCACCAATTTTAACCAAGCTCCGTGACGTTAGCGAATTGGTTCCATACTTCTACTGTACCATAAAAGAAACTCTCATGAATCATTGGTGACCCATACAAAGCCAGTCTAACCTCTAAAGCACTTCTTCGGTGATTGATAAAGTCCAAAGCATGATGCAGCCGTAGAGGGATTATTAACAAGTGACACTTTATCTTTTACATTTTATGCTGTCAAGAACACTTGCACCGTATATTCCATCATGCTATTCCATACTTTTCGAAAGACGAGTTTTCCTCGAGAAATCCGTTCTCACATTTGGCATAAACATAGTGCCGCTTTGAATTTGATTTTTCAAAATGGTACGAACACCTTAGTGGAGTGTCGACACATCAAACTACCGTTAGCGAGACTGAAAATTTTTATAGAAGTATGCCATCGTATGTTACGTGTGCCACAAAAATTAATCTCTTCGTTGCTTCTATTTTTAAGTGAAAAAAGTGTGGTTTTCTTAGTCCTGCTTAATCGGTCTGTCTACTAGCTCATTTTCTTAACAATCTTAAGCTTCTACTCGAGCTAACAAACTTGAGCCGTCGTTAGGCTGGGGCATCTGTGCATCTTGAAGTACATCCACATTCCATCATAGCTGTTGCTATAGTTAAACATTACTCAGACGTTTCCTATGGTCTATGTTGCAACGAGAGCGTGTGGTGCAGCGGTCGGAGGCGCCTTGCAGCACACAAATGGAATCAATCCTTGTGCCCATAGCCCACCAAGCCCTCCATTCCTCCGAGGTTGGAAAATTGGTACCATACTTGTTTAGGAGGGTAGCAGCACTGCCTCGACACATCGGTAGGCCACCGCGAGTCATTATAAAGGCGAGATATGCATTCAATCACCTCCAACGATGCTTAGTGAAGTCGAATGCATGACTCATCCCTCAGGGACCGATCTATGTTGAGAGCTTTATCCTTTATCCTTTTATGTTGTAAAGAAATAATTTCGAAACTAGAATCGTTAAAAGGTAGCGGTGTACGGCGGCAACACCATCAGCTATTTGACATCGATATTACTAAACATTACTTTTCTATTACTTAGTGATGACAATAGCTTGCAAATAAATGTTCTAATTTGAATAGTGAAGCTGCTTCTGCTTAGGTCTTGTTTTCGTCCTTGGTAAACGATCGAAATCTTATGTGGCTGACGAAAGGCTGTTCGCAGACAAAATAGATGAACACTTAACATTTTGCACATTATCTTTTCCGGGGAGTAACGCGTTCACCACCACACCATGCGGGTCCTTCGTTTCGCCTGTCTCTCAGCTATTTCTATCGATCTTTTTTGCCACAGCAATCACCCATCAGCGATTGCAAGCAATCGCAGATTTTCTCAAAACGGTTATATCAACCAACCACAAGGATGCTGAGATATTTGCAAAAGTGTGGACCGCAGGTGTCTACGGTGTGGAACGAACAAGCTATTGTCCTTTCCTGGGAGTGACGCGTCTACCACCACATACAGGTCCTTCGTTTCGCCTGTCTCTCAGCTAATTCTACCGATCAGCGCCATCAGCAATCACCCGTGAACGAAGTACCCGCATGGTGTGGTGGTGAACGCGTTACTCCCCGGAAAGGAAAATAGCGCGTTCGTTCCCCACCATAGACACCTGCGGTCCAAAGTTTTGCAAATATCTCAGCAACGTTGTGGTTGTATTTCGCTTAGTAACCTGCCATGAAAATTATAAAAGGCAGAAAACAAAACGTTAAACATTGTGATTTTGCACATTATTTGAATACCTTTGGAGGTTGCACCTTTGGATGAAGGAAACGAGGTGCTGCTAATTCCATCTCCTCAATTTTGTCCTTTTTATGCGTCAATTTAAGTTTCTATATCGTTTCGGAGCTCTTTGACAGCGTTATATTTTTATAGCGTCAGCTCTAAAATCCTCCATAGAGAAGACCAAGTAGAAGCCCTGATTTTAAATCCGAACTGTGATCAGGAGAATGAAGAGGATAATAATACGAGCACTTAACGGCAACATTACTTTCAGTTATTGTCCTGATTACACGCACTCTTGGCATCGTATGTTGCAAAATATCTAGGTCGTGAAATCAATACGATGAACGACCTAGATAGATATTTTGTTTTTTTATTTTGATATGAACTAGGTTCCAGAGTTGAGCGGAAAGGTACGAGTGGCTTGGAAAATTCACAAGATTACCGTCGATATAGTGAACAAAACAAAGAACATTGGAATCCGTGCCCACCTTTTCGACTCCACGATTCTCCCTGACTTAACGTATGTGCCATAAACCTAAGCCCTGCGCAAGCAGGATAAAGAGCCCTCAGCGTTATTAGGTTATTCGAAGCGAGGCTATTCCCATAATAAAGTGTTGACTTCCACTAATTCAACAAAAGCGACTTGAGTTCATGTAAGACTTTATTGAAGCACAACTCGCTGCACCTTTAATTTGTTGCGGTCCGGAGTTTTGCAAATATCTCAGCATCATTAAAGTTATATTTCGGAACTTTCTTATTTTATCCTTTACTAATGTGAATTACTCTCTAGGGCTAATAAGTGGTTTTTTTTGGCTATGTTTTAAGAACGACCGCAAATTTATAGCAATCATATGTGGTGATTGACGCTCAGTATGATTTCTTGCTGAATGATTCTTTCAGATTTCTCGTAGTTGCGGACCATGAAGGGATTGCTGTCTTCTCGTTTCAGAAATTGTTTTCATTTAGTGCGAGAACTGTTGATGGTTATGAATATTCTGCTATTCCCACATTTATCTCCAAAGTAATTATTCTTCGTATCAATTCTGTGGTTCATGATCTTCGTAAAATGTAATCAAGTGAAGTGAGTCATTCTAGCAACGCTTCTGATTGCGCCTATGGCGCTCTCGGGAAGTAATATCCAATACATCTTCGGCTTGCCTCGTGGCATACTGATGGATCAATCCACTTTTACGCCGCATACGTTTCTGGTAAATTATACGTCTGGAAAGCACCTGCTCACTGTGTTCCTCGGTTTCTTTCCTCGGTTAGGTCTCTGTCAGGTATTAAAGGAATATTTCTTCATCCTTGAATGTCCTGTGATTTGTAGACAACGGCTGAGAATTGCGGGCTCTCGACTTTGGCGTCCAAATACTTGTATGATGCAAATGGACTCCTAGCCGTTGGCGCGAATTCAGGAAGAGTCAGCTTATTGCGCGTTTCTGACAACACTACAGTGAAACTAACAGCTGTCAAATTCTATATTTCGCTGCTTTTACTGGTAGGAAAGAAACATTCTAAATTTCATGGTATAAATAGAGCTTATCTAACGTGCGCTGAAAAGATGGATGTTTGTAAATGAAGCTCTACAGCTTGACGGCTTTTTAATGCCCTATCGTTATTCGTTCCTCAATTCTACTTGTTCTAGTGTCGTTTGATCTTTAAAAGGTGTTCTGAGGCTAGCGACGTCACTTTGCGTCTTGTTGGCATTTAATAGTTTTTTTTTTGTGAAGTTCTTGTTCTCGTGTTTTAGTTTGGGTGAAGTGTTTTTAATCACAGCGTTTTACTATTATTTTCCTTATAATACAATTTTTACGGCACGGTATTATCCCCATGATGACGTGGTGAACGCGCTTATCGCCAAGAAAGGGTAATAACGCGTTCGTTCACCACCAGAGGCATCTGCCTTTCGGCGTTTTGTAAATATCTCAGAGTGATTGTGGGTTGTCTTTTAATTATTGTCTTTTCTTGACACAGAAAACCGAGGTGGAAAGAGAGAGCCTTCAATCCAATGTCGTTGTCCAACATAAATGGCAATATCAAAAAAATAAAAGGATAAAGAATAAGGCATTCGGCTTCGAACAATTCGTAAGCAATGCGCCATGCGTTCGATTAAGTATCGCTGGAGGTGATTGAATGCCCGTCTGGCCTTCACAGTGACTCGTGGTGGCCTACCGATATATCGAGCCAGTGCTGCTATCCTCCCAGACAAGTTTGGCACCAATTTGCCGACCCCGGTGTATTGGAAGGCTTGGTGGGCCGTGGGCACGAGGATCGAGTCCATTTGTGTGTCGCAGTGGCGCGTAAAATCAAAAAATAGATGCTCAAAAATAATGAGCGTTTCGTAAAGGTATTAGTATTGCATTGACTACATTTAGCATAAATTACAAAGTAATGGGCTCTTCTCTAAACCAATTGAAGTGTTCAGAAATAGTTAGGGATGTAGAATATTCATACAGCGAGTATTTCCATGAAAAGCTAGAAGTGAGAAGAGTTAAGGAAATGAGCTCAGAGAGCTGCGCGATGCTTGGTACTCGGTTGATCTGTATTCGGGAAGGATACTGGAGTTCTCACAAAGCATGTTTCATTCGTCGTTGTTGTTGGGTGAGTTGACACCGTTATTTCTTAAAGTTCTGGAAAGAAAAAGTTTATGCCGTTAGGTCTTTACGATGGACCTTTTTGGAGTTTGAAAAGTTTCGTTGCATTTTAACTAGGTTTGTCCTCGAAAGATGGTGACTGCTTCTAGCAGTACAGTCTTAATTGGGTCTCTGGATGGAAATGTCGAGTTGTTCAGCTTCGGTGGAAGTACGGAGGCACTGATTTCTCTGAAAATTTTAGTTCCAGAAACGCTCGCTGCTAGCAGTCTTAAATGGCAAACCATTAAGTAAATGAACCACTATGAGTGTTTCCCATTAGAGTCAGTTACTCGAGTAAACTGCGCTGTTCGAATTTCTGCGCTGTGAAGGGACCCTGCACATGGGTTTGCAGCCGCACACCCGCGCTATGTCACAACATGTCTTTTCCGCATGCATCATTTTGCTGTCGTATTTTTCCACCTTAAATACCCTCATTTCTAACGATGCTTCAAAAGCCGTGGTCATCTGTTTGTTGCTTTCGGACCAATGAAAAATATTACTTCCGTTCATCATCAGCGGTGTGTTAAGAGTCGTTGAAGTAGTAGAACGTCTTTCACCTCTTCTTGTTTCCGAGATAGAAGCGAGATTTGAATCTTCTCTTTGAGACTTCCAAACGAGAGAGTTGGATTATTTGTTCTTTATGACCATGCCGATAGAAAACTCTGCTAGATTTGGCGTGACCGGTCGTCTAACAATACTGTTCACAAAGATAATTGTAGCGGCTGTGATATGCAATGACAATACTAATAATGGTTGCAGCAGGATTCAAAACAGTAATTATAGAAACATGAAGAAGTAGATGGAGCTGTCCCTGCGAACAAAGCATTTCAGTTCTAATAGATGTAACAGCCGCTTGAATCTGAACGTGTGTCACATATCATATTCTGGCTTGCTTTTTTCTGGATACGCTATTTAGTACGTTTAGGTTTAAAGGATAACGAAAGCTGCTATTTTAACCATAATGATGCTGATATTTGCGAATCTCGGGAAAGCTGGAATTCGCAGTGGAGACCGAACACGCTATTACTGTTTCAGGATCCAAACGCGTTCATCACTATACCATGCGAGTGCTTCGTTTCCCCTTCTGTCAGCAGTGTTATTGACGTCTAAGTGCTATCAGCAATCACTCGTTAACGGGATTGATCTGTCGAATACAAATCGACATCAAACGTTGAACTCAGTTAAGCTGCAAGTGTGTTATAAATTATAACGTAATATTAAAAAAAGATTAGCAGTAAATAAAAAGTGGAGACATTTGTTTCCGCGTTGGTCTTCAGGTAATGGCATCGTTGGGTGGTGGACTGGGTGAAAGGACAGCAAACCAAAATCCACAATGGTGCAGTGGGTAACACATGAGCGTCTTGAAACTGTGGGCGCAATCTTTTTCGTGTAGGGCAAAAACATTTCAAAAATTTGCTGCGATTATTCTATGATGACGATCTTGTCTACGTCTATGACGGGTTTTCGGTCTCGATCAATCCTTGGCTGATGCGCCGTGTATTCGCCTTCATCAAGCAATGTGAAGGCATTGTTAACTTTTTATTTGGTGCCTATTATTTCCTATCCAGCTATACAAGTGGTCAACTAAAGAAAGAAATCTGCCAGAAATGGTAAGAATGAAAGTCATGTCCCATTGCAGTCAAAGCTCTGTCACATACCACAGGAAAGAAACCACCGGTTAGTTCAATAGAAAAGGATAAGACAGCGAAAGTATTTAATACGATGTTACAGTTAAAGTAAGCGAAGTCGGCATTAATTCGACAGCGACTACAAATTTGATGGATTTCGCGTTCGAAGCCTAGAATGGTCAAATTAATAGGCGATCTACTTAGCCAAGTCCTCGCGCTGATCGGAATGGGATGGAAACTTAAAGAAAAGACTGCAATTGCACGTTATAGGTAAGGGTGCATAAAGTGCAATGTTTAGATCTGGTCTGCTATGCACACGTCGTCATTGATTTAACCCTCGTCAGCTCACCAAGCCTCGAATCCCTCTAGGGTAGGACGATCACAACCAGACCTGTGTGGGAAGATGGCAACACTGACCGGATACATCTGTAGAGCACTAGGAGTCAACGTATAGCCTAGATATACATTCAATCAGCTTTAAGGATGCTTGATTAAGATGAGTGAACCCTGCATCCCTCAAAAACTGATCAACACTAGACACGCCATCCTTTACTCTTTATGGTAGGCCACTTCCTTACATCACACGGTTTCTCATAAAATGAAGCACAACGGGCCGTAAAGATGCCGGGATGTAGGTGAAACACCAGATGTCACATGAGCTTAGAACCAGCGATTAGTGCTACCGGGAGCTCATATGTTATTAACCACATCAATCCGGGCTTTTGCTTTACTGTTTCCCCAGCAGTTTTGAAAGCTGCGTAGTATAATCGTTTCCGTAAGCTTTATAAAAGACCAAGTACACTGTGCCTAAGTTTGTGCAGTCACTATATCTGCTGTTAGGATTACCTTTTTCATTTATCGTCCCGTTGATCGCGAAGTGACTCAAGCGGGCGGCAGCAAAGCTTCCATGTTTTCCCTATGCGCCGAAGAGTAGTTTGGTGGGCTCTGTTTGCTCTAAAGACTTGTTGTTCAACATGTGTTCCTTCTAGGATTTTAGTGAAGAACTCTGACATGAACTTGGTTCTGTTGTCTTCTCCTGCACTACGTCAGAGATCTCAATGAATCTAGTCACTTATAGCTCTTATCCACCAGCTGTCGTTCACACGAACTACATGTTCCGCCCTGCATAACTTCGACGGGCTTGGAGTATAGAACGACGTCTTTGACTTTAAATCGTTGAAACAGATCGCAGCTCCGAATCCCTTCCCTCAGTTGGGTGAGACGGGAAACTGTAGTATCGTACTTTCAACTGAGCGTTCGCTAACGACGAGTCATCTTGCATTCTCGTTAACCACCTAATTTGCTCTCTCACGCATATGTTAAAGCAAAAAAGAATCAAAAACTCGAAAAGGTGAGCATTCATTCGGGTGCTCTTTGTACTCTCCGCTATATCATCGCTGCTTTCAAGAGCTCTCGAGGCCGTTCGCTTTCTCCTGGTCAACTCCGGAGTTAAGTTGTTCATCATTTTGATTTCCCCACATAGGTAGCATGAATGGGGCACACAAAGCCAATGGTGATATTTTTGTTGTAATATTTCTATGAAGTTCACGAAAAATCCTTGTATAATGGTTATGGGCACCCGAGAGGTCTAGGGCTTCATGTTTTTGCTTTTATTGCAATTGAGTCAAAAACCTCCCATCGATCGAGGAAAGTGAGAAAGAGCGGTCTCTTCTACTCTGACAAGACTTTACTGACATTTGTTATCGCGTGGATGTGGTTCATCGTATTAAATCCTTTTCAGAAAAATGCTTGCTCAAATGGCTGACCTTCGTCCAATGCTCTGTTAGTCCTGTTTAGGATGAATCGAATAACGGGTTAATAAACTGCAAACAGCAAGCATATTGGGTGACAGTTCCCGATATCGGGAAGGTCACCACTTTTCGAGAACAAAATTAGTTCTACTGGTCTTCCATTGAGTGCGAACCCCGAATTTTGACAGGTATCGTGTGAAGAGCAGAGCCAGTCTGTTTATGAGGACTGATGGAAGGTTCTTTAGGAGTAGCTTGTCCGCACCAGGTTTGCGAATTCCTTTACTAGCCTCTGCAGCTTCGACTATAGCCGCTGCTTTTCTCTCCTTAAATTCTTTCTTTTATCGTCGCTGTGCATTGTTTTGCAGGGTTGGATTTCAGTTAGAGGTTACCTGTAGCTCAGGCGATTCCACTTTGCCGCCTCAGTTCGAGTACTTTTTGAGGTTGACATCTATTGTCAATTTTCGCAGCGCTTATGCGAAGGTGTTGAATGAGCCGACCACTTTACTGGTCGGTGTCATCAAGAATGGGACGTTACCAATGTCAGAGTATGACCAGTCTGTAATGAGACTATTCTAACCTTAGCAGTTACTGACCGCCGATAGAAATTGATCGTGGATAGCGAAATTTTTGGTGAAGCTATATTATTTCAGACTTTTTCTTAACAGCTCATGCCGACAAAGTCGATCAGTTTTCTAAGCAGTTATCAACTTGGGTCAAGCCAAATGCCAAAAACATCTCCAGAATAGGGTAAGTTTGTGACTAATAGTCTACGAATAATTCATCTTGATTGTTGCACTGTTTGTCTACGTAACGATCGTTATCGACCGAGTATAGATTCCTTAGGTTCCGCCTGTGAATGCGGATACATATCAAAACCCTGTACCACTTCCGCACGACGACACATTGTAACTAGCAACATATAATATATTAACATATAAATATCGTTATTTTTCCATCACGTCACTTTAACACTATTGTATAAGATGTTATACTATCGCCTGTGTTCCTCATTGGTCTTCGTACCACCTCTTCCTACTGGTTGACTTATTGCTTATGTTTTCACACCCAAGGTTTTCTCATCACCATATCGTCATAATTACTCATTCTTCATATCCGGTGTTACGACGGTTACGCAGAAGTCCACATGCCAGGAAATATTGTACAAACAAGTAACGTCGCCATAATCCGACATTCCGTATCACATTTTGCGGACTCTCAAACTCTCAATAGTTCATAACTCTAACTCTCAATAGTCCCTCTCTCAATAACTCTCAATAGTTTCTGTTCATTGCCTATATTGCCGATTTGAACTTCCCAGATCAATCCCGCTGATGGGTGATTACTGATGGCACTGATCGACAAGCTGAGAGAAAGACGAAGCGAAGGACCCAGATGGTGCGTTGGTGAACGCGTAAGCGACGGAAAGGGTAACAGCGCTTTCGTTCTCCACCGCTGACACCTGCGCTCTTTCGTCCTTCCCCAATTTCCAAAGAACACAGTAAAGGTGGACGAACGATGACCGCAAACTTTCCAATGAAGGATAGTTTTCACTTGGTTTCATGTGATAGCTGAAGTGTAATTCTTTGTCTTTTTCATCCAATGTAGATAGTGGATAGCATGCATTGGCATCGATGCGTCCTATCCACTCTGCCTCACATCCCGCGCACTAGGATCATGCAAAGATCAGGTTTTGTTTCTCAATAAAGACGAAGTATAGTTTAATATCACTGGTACCGGGGTGTGTGTGGCACAGTGGTTGGAGGCGCCACTCCGATACACTCCTGGAATCGATCCCCGCGCCCATGGCCCACCAAGCCTTCCATTACTCCGGGGTCGGCAAATTGGTGCCAAACTTGTCTGAGAGGATAGCAGCACTGGCTCGATACATCGTTAGATCACCGTGAGTCATTTTAAAGGGCAGATAGGCATTTAATCACTCACCTCCAACGATACTTAGTGAAGTCGAATGCATGGCGCATCTCTCAGGGATTGATCAACGCCGAGAGCTTTATAATTAGTACTGAAGAACTCACTCTCCAGATTTCGAGCGAAATTTTTAAAATTTCTTTCAGTTTAATGAATTTCAAACCGAAATTTTCAAATTTCGAAATTCCAAGTTTCCAGTGAACGACTGTTTCCACTTGGTTTCGTGTGATAGCTGGAATGTACTTCCATGCCTTTTCCATGTTCTCGATATTCACCGATTCCGTTCCACCGATTCCGTTTCGAAACGGCTTTTTCCACGTATAATTGAGAATACCTACCCATAGACCAACCCAGTATAAAATGCGCGTTCGACAATTTATCCTTTCACTATAAAGGGTCGTGAAGGTGTTTTTAGATCAAAAAGTGATGTGTCTACGAGGAAATACTGAAAGAGAAGCAGTTTGGTTAACTCTATGCACTAAATACTTGCTACACCAGTATCACGTGGCTGGACCCATGGGACGGAGTGTCTTCGGAGTACACAAGAGGTTGTAAGATGTTATACTATCGCCTGTGTTCCTCATTGGTCTTCGTACCACCTCTTCCTACTGGTTGACTTATTGCTTATGTTTTCACACCCAAGGTTTTCTCATCACCATATCGTCATAATTACTCATTCTTCATATCCGGTGTTACGACGGTTACGAAGAAGTCCACATGCCAGGAAATATTGTACAAACAAGTAACGTCGCCATAATCCGACATTCCGTATCACATTTTGCGGACTTAGCGGACCACTTAGCACTTCTTCTACCCGTTTTCTTTCCTCGCATCCACAATCTACCGAAGTCAAACAACTTTAGTACCGTTTTCTCAATATCGAAGAAATGGTTGTTTGGAGAGCCCGGTGCAGGAGTCGAGCCTGGGATTGGATAGTTTGGCATAGTGAACGGCATCAGTGCTACTGCGCTACTCGCGTCTAGTGTAAATATTATAGAAAAGAACGTGCGAGTTTGGTTCACACTGAAAAAATTGAGATATTTAAAGGAATTCAAAAAAAATTTTGGAAGAAGCATTTTTTTTTCCATTTCCGTCCTCTTAATGTCTGTTAGATTTTACCGAGAACTTGAAGCAGGATAGATTCTCTTCATGATTACTTATCATGGTCAGTGGACAATCAACAATAACTGCCCCATAGAAAAGGGACAATGTCGCGTGTCGTCCTCATTAGAGCGTTGCTATACTCCCGAAGATTCGACTCGATACGACTAAGAAGACCCTCGTCGGTAGAACAAATGTTTGTGGACCATCGACTCCAATCGACGGCTCTAATGAAGGCAAAGACATCGGGATCTTATCCGAATAAAAGTGTATGATAACCTTATATAAGCCGAATAATTTGAAAAACTATACTTTACATTCATAATAGGTTTAAAGGATGGTAGGTTTTGAACAATCCTAATCTACCTTTCACTTTCAGAGCAGTAGAAAAATGCCGTTATGTTTGTGTTTACGTTACTAATGAAAACTAGGAGAGCTGTAACAGCTGGGCATTGGAGAAGCGAAGGAAATGTGGTGACAGTTGCTACAGAAAAAAGTAACGGTGCTCGTTTTCTTCGAAAATGTTGACATTCTTTTATTCTGTATAAAAACCATTCCGATCTGCAAATCTTATCCAAATGGCTGATAAAGAGTAAATGATAAAGCCTTCCGCGTTGACCACTCTTTGAGAGATATACAATGCCTTCGACCTCACTTATCATTGTCAGAGGTGATTGAATGTATATCTGGCCGGTGCAATACCTTATGGTATCCTACCGAAGTATCAAGTCAGCGCTGCTACCCTCCCAGACACGATCGGTATTAGTTCGCCTACTTAGGATGGATGAAAGGCTGCGCAAGTTGAAGGCACGCGATCTAATCGATGACTACCGTTTGCACTGCTGGGCCACCCCTAACCACGTTACCCCTGAGCCAAATGGGTGATATGGTTCGCAAAAACGTCGATCCATCATGTGACTATTCGTATGCGGTCTTGCACTGTTTTCGAGTTTACATTTCGGTTCCGTTCGTCCATGCGTCATCAGCTTTCCTTAATACGTCACTGGATCGTTCATCCATGCATCGATGCCGGTATATAATCTTCCACATCTCGATGAGAGAGGTTTTGCAGGTCTGAGCAACGCATTCGAAGTAGACACTGTGTGACGGCTGAATTTCTCGGGATATTGTCGAAGTACACCGCGACATTGTACGGCGAAAGGCTTTGCTTTTTCATTATCCTTTCATCCTGCTCCATATCCACATCTCCAATATCCTATTAGGTTATCGTGACTGGTGGTGTTATTGGAAGATGTACAATTTAAATTAATAGTTCATTTTCCAACGGGGTCTTCCAAGCTAAGAATGATTTCGGCATTTCCATCCGGAAGCCCAGTAGTACGAATACAAGGGACGACAAAGTATCAAACTGGTTTCCCAGTTGGAAAATCCGCCTTGGTTCACAAAACATGGCGACTGTCTGCGGCGACGCGTTCAGGAAAACTTCAGCCACCCTACCCTCGGAGTTTCTGTCAACCACAAATAACTCATTTTGCAATGAAAGTAATCTAAATCGCAGTTCGAAACTCTAGAAACCACCACTACGGCGCGGAAGTGGTTAAAGACGGAACGTAGAGAAATAGAAGGAAAAGAATTAGATCAAATGAAGCCAAGGAATTCCACCTTAGAAGCTAATTTGAAACTGAACCGGCACATTTCCGACTTTTTCTTGTCTGCATTTCACCTGCTCGTGCTTATGGAGATAGCTTTCTCATAGTTGCATGCGTGCATGAAATTTTTTCATTCAAACTCACTTTTGGTTTACTTTTTTATTTTTATTGTAATAAGTTGTGAAGTAGGACGAGATTCACAAAGAAAAAAAAAAGGTGAAAAATCCATGTGTAGTGGATTATGCCTCTTTAATGAGAGGCTCATGGTGTTTTCGCAATGGAGTGCTGTGCATCAACGTCCAGCAGGATTCACAGTAGTACTGAAATGGAAAAAGCAAGTAAGTGAGATAAACAAGGTAAATACCAAAAAAATAATTACGAAAGGGCGAAAAAAGAGAAGTAGACATATATCAAAATATTTATAACACCGACATATTCCACGCAATCGAAATCTGAAAATATTTAAGCTCTTGGATGCTTAGAGTAAAAGAACTGTCTCGAGGGATGGAAAAGCATTGCAGACTAAACCCGCCAATCCTTTAGTTTCTGAGATCAAATCCACTTTAGAGAATGTGCTACTATAGTGATGAATGTGCGACAGCAACAAATGATCGTCTGCGGCAGGTATTACAAATGCTTTAGGATTCCATGGCCAGAAGCAGTGGAGTGATTAGAGGTGCTCTGCAAAAAAAGGCGCCTCGTTGGTCCAATCGCTCACCCGAGACTCACGAAGACTTCTGCCCTTCCTTAGTAGGGAAATTGCCACGGGACATGTCGTTAAGGAGAGTATCACTGATGCGATACAATAGCAGACCACCTCAAGTCATTTTATGGAACAAATAGTCAATCGTTGAGTACTAACGGTGCTTGATGAAGTCTTGTAAATGGTGTGTCCCTTAGACAACGTTCAACGGCACTCTATCCTATTATGCCCCTCAACCCCTAACATTGTACGATTTCAATCATTGCAGTCTCAGGAGAGGCTGTCTATAAATCTCGGCATTTATCAACATTTTACTATTCCTTTATGAGAAAATATGAGGTTGTTACTTTGCTATTTATTCATAGTAGCTGCTATTTCGAAGAATTTCGCCTTCCCCAAATCCATGAAAACTCAAATTGATGTGCAGTCTAGTCAAGTAAACACTTTCTTAACAGAAAAACAAAGAACTACAATTTCATTCCCACTGGGAACAGATCCTTCAGACACCCACCGTATTGTAGACAGAGAATTTAGGCTCTGGGCTTTTCTGTTAAGCATATGAAAGTATTTAGCTAACTATGTTGCACATCAACTCAGTCTCCCATGCTCTGAATGGTGAACTAAGATAAACATTGTTTAAATTTTATTTGATGCCTATTTATTTTTCTTCTGAAAGGTGTTAAGTGAAGCAAAGCCATAATGACGCTGAGGTATGAGGAAAACTCGGAACCCCAGGTGAGCTGCAAAACCACAATTACTCTAAAGATATATAGCCTTAGCCCAAATTATCCATATTGCCGCGAATAACAGAAAGGCTTATTCTTAAAATCATATTCTGACGATTTCTTTACCTCATAAGATACGTCCCTAACGAATTGGCTATTCATTGGAGACAACAAGATTTCGAAATATTGAGAGAACAAAGTAAGTTCTCTGCGTTGCTATACTTGAAAATAACTGTTTAGTATGATGGGGAATGACTTCGATTACTACGTACACAGCTTGTTTTCCCGCTAATCGTTGATTCGGATAACACGAGCGAACAACAGCAGTTAGTGTTTGACCTGTCATACCATCATAGATGCTTAGTAGTCCTCAGAGGACATGCGCTTTTTGCATTATCCTACTATTCACAGCTAACTTGCTGTGCTACAGTACTGAATCAAAATAGTCGTAGGTGTGTTTCTTCGGCCAGACAGAGATTTTAAGCCTCTGCATACGCTAGCTGAACCTGCGACTGAGATAAACAACCACTATTGTGGGTTGCAGTTCGACAACCTGGAATACTGGGCACAATACAGTCACGGACTGTTGGAAGAGAAAACGAAATAGCATTCCAGCAAACAGAAAACAGTATCGCTCGATTTTCAAAACAAGTTAACGGGCTCCCTCGAAGTTATGCCTGAGTAACTAACGTCTTTGTATCCACTATGTGCTAACTGTCCAACAGATAAGTAATCAATGATTTTGCATATTGAAAAGAATATGCTATTTTGGAAACAGTCCAAAAACAGCGCACCACTATCGTGGAACTGCTCAGACACCTCAGTTTAGTCTCTCAGTAATCGCTGAATATTGCCACCTTTCTGGTATTGTAAGAGATAGTAACACAAGAAGATTTCAAGACCAAATAAAAAGTCTCTTTAACCTGATTCTCTAATAAAGACTGACAGACCTGTAGACAGTCCACATGAGGACAAAAGAATGGAGCATGCTTTCCGCCATTTTTTTTGTCAACGCATTCTTCACATAATTGGTCATCCAATACGTATGGCTTTATTTCTACCTACAAAAAAATAGCCCACTACGCTGAGAAAAGTCCCTCAGCACGATTTGATAGAAATCCTAACAACTACGAAGCTATTTAATGACTGAATGCATACACTTTTCTCGATTTCACCATGATTAAGCTGAACGTATTGCTCTCTAATTGCTTTAATATAGGAGCTGTAGTCGGTGAACGCCACTCGTCCAGCACCTGAATATTCTAAGCTTCGATGATTTAACAGCGTGATGTTCAACCAAATGCTTTATAACAAGAAATCGACTCCAACCTCATCAACCAGAATGAGGAAAATCATAGGAATAAAACTCAATTTAAAGGAAAGTCCAAAGAACACTAAATCAACGCTGGTATGACATATGAAAGTTGATGGGAATAACCCCCATCAAGAAGCATCACTATCGAGAAAGTCGATAACTGTGCGTAGCACAGCATAATTGTCGATTACACTGGGTCATCATGTCTAAAACCTACTCCTGTGCTATCAAGAATCGTCACAGCTAAGTAAAACTATAAAATGTGAATAGAAGAAAAATGAGAGAAACAGAAAAGTTAAAAAAATTGAGTGGTTCTCTGGACTTTGCTGCTATAGATATTTGAATTCCGCACTTCCCATAGAAGTTCCGCATAGATTCCGAATGAGTAGACAGTAAAAATCAGTACAAATGTACTTCAACAAGCCTTAACGCTACTAAAATTCGAACATTAACCTCTTGGATATTTATATTTGAAATCCGTATCGATGCCAGCACACGCCACATTTCCAAACAGACGATCCATGGTGTGTGCCAAGTCCACTAAACGAATCACCGTGATACCTTCTCCAAAAATCATCAAAAACATTGTGGCGCAATACCTGCACGGAATGGTATCGGCATTCCTCCAACAAAAACTACAAGATGGAGATTGATCGGTACGTTTACATCGACCGAATAGTCGGAATCCTCCAGCCGCCAGGGACGAATTTGAACTTTCTAGTTAAAAAATGAAAACAATTTACTTAGCGAATTGTTTCATGTATCCATAAATATAGTCGCAATTCTTAAGCTTAGGGGCTCAAAATGTGCAGACAACCTCTCATTGTCATATTTCTTCAAGTTCACTTTAAGTGAAGCACTGTCTTTAAGGGGCAGAATGTTCAAAAGGTTTTTTTATTTTCTATTTGATCCGGCTCCACGTCTACTGTGTGGATCACACCACTTCTCGCATCCAATTCGTTTCTTCGCATCCATCCTAAACGAAGGTCTTCCAAGTTTTCATGTGTGCCTTCGGTTGCTGCTGGAGGATTCCCATTTTATGTTGAATGTCGTAGAATGCTGGTCGAGCAAATCTCCAAGAAGTCATGAGGTAGCCGGGCTGGAGCGCTCCCAGTTGGATTGCTGAGAGCGATTTCCTTCCCATAAAAGTACGGTGCCAATTTCCCGACCCCGGAGGGATGAGAGTCTTGTTTGGCCAGAAGCGGAATGGAGCTAGTACCATGATCGTGATAATCGACATTACCACCACTGTGTTATCCACCCCATCAAAAGGTTTGAGTGAATAAAAAGCGATAGTGTTAGGAATTTCACAGTTCAAAGAAAGTTGCTCAGCAAAACACCATGATAGCGCCACTGATATTATTTCTCAGTTCCGTTCATCTCTCACTGTACCCGTAGTACCTATCCAGCAGCCTTAGTTGTTACAGCAATATACTATCGGTTAGTATTTAAGATACACAAAATTTACAGCCAACCGCTAGCGACGAATAATGGAATTTTTCGCATATTTCTTTCCTCAATAAAATTTTTTTTCCTAATAAGCAAAACTGTGGCACGACAAACTGATCTGCAACAAAAAAAGCGGAACTGACCACCATCTCCCTGTCAGCTGGTGAGTGGATGAGGAAAAACAGTTTCTCGCCTTCGCTTCTGCAGCTCTCAACTAATTTTCGCACTGACATCTCGAGGTTAAAGATAAGGAACGCGCAACCTGTAATGATCCAATGGTAGAACGCACATCAGTTTACGATCTCGAAATATTTTATTCCTAAAACTGGAAAAGAGATGCCCACCAGTGGATTCATTTCTCTAACAAAGCAATAGTTATTACGTACTTCGTTCACCTGACCAACACGAGGTGCCTACAGTGAACTAATGAGGAATTTTGGCTATTCTGGAAGAAGCTTAATAAAATGTCGAGCAGAGCTATTTATTCTGCAAAGTGCGCAAGCCAACGGCGACTACGACCAGCGGAACATCTAACAAACAGAGTACCCTCCTCCGTACCACCAAGAAATTGACTAATTATCATATAGAATGTTAAAAAAAGTGCTGCGAACAAACGAAATTAAGGTTTCACGGCAGTCCATCACTTTGTATTCCGTCTCTATCTTATTCGAAATTATGAATACATACACATTGAAAAATTGTAGTAGGTACTAAATAAAAGGTTAGCAATGTGATTTCGACTGCAGCCTCATTCTAAATGGGTTACACGTCGATTTGTGCCATCCAGACCTATCCCATTGGCGGATGATTGCTAGCGGCACTGGTAGATAGTAAACTGGCTGACAGGAAGACGAAACGAAGGACCCGTATGGCGTGGTAGTGAACGCAATAGCCTCCGAAAGAAAACAGCGTATTCGATCTCTACCTTAGAGACCTGGTGCCAGGGCTTTGCAAATATCTCAGCACCACTGTGGTTGTAACACAAGATTTTATTTCTCGTAACCATCTTTATATGATGAGGAAACCACAATTTTTTTGTGAGCCCGAATTTGTTACTAAAAGCTGGCAAGTTTCCAATACATGTCATCTCGGAATGGTTAACATAATTTTAACGTTCTCTATTTACTGCCTATTGTATTTTTCATGGCGGCGTAATGCGTGTGAAACAGTCACAATGATGCTGAGATATTTGCAAAACCCCAGGCTGCTGGTGTCTACGGTGGGGAACGAACCCGTTATTATCCTTTCCGGGGAGTAACGCGTTCACCACCACACCATGCGGGTCCTTCGTTCATGGGTGATTGCTGATAGCGCTGATCGGTAGAATTAGCTGAGAGACAGGCGAAACGAAGGACCTGCATGCGGTGGTAAACGCGTCACTCCCAGGAAAGGATAACAGTTTGTTCGTTCCACACCGTAGACACCTGCGGTCCACACTTTTGCAAATATCTCAGCAACCTTGTGGTTGGTTGATATAACCGTTTTGAGAAAATCTGCGATTGCTTGCAATAACTGCAGTAATTTCTTTGCTGTAGACATTACAAAAAACACACTGTGTTTGCAAGAATATCATCATCTTTTTTAGATGATTGATATAGATGATTATTAAAGAGATCAGATCTCTATCTCTAGTTCATTACCTCTCCTCTCATCCCTCTCACACAAAAAGGGCGCTTGTGAGAAACATGTATAGAACAGCTACCAGCGTGTGCATAGAATGAGGTAAGTGCAGCTATAGAACGCTGTTTAAGAAGGGCCAGTCTAGAGAATTCGATAACGATAATCGAAATACCGAAATACCAATCTAAGGCGCCAGCTAGTTCGTAACCGCCTATACGACCGTTTATGTGCAACGAAAAATTGCATAATATGCCCCAATGGTAGAGACGGTGACTGCATGAGTTCGGCTACAGTCTATCTGATCTCTTGTAAACCGTGCGGGGACGAATACGTTGGCGAAACGGGTGGACCACTCTGCGTACGTATAAAAGAACACCTAGTCGGCAAACGTAAGCCTCCACTAGGTACGCATAGCACGCAGAAACATAACGGAGAAGATTTTGAAGTAAGGGTTACGATCCTCGCGCAAGAATCGAGAACACAAGCGCGCAAAACTCTAGAGGCATTCTGGATTAAATCCAAGAATCCGAAAATGAACCGCAGGAAGGAATGCCTCGTTATCACGCGTGATTTTGGACATTATATAAACCTGTTATTCCGATGGGAGGGGCACATTACGCTTCCATGTGAATTCTGTTCGGTCGGTCTTCACGCGGCATTCTCAGTGGAAGACTCATAGAAAGCGGTGAGTGTGCAAAGTTATGCTAAATGTGATTGAAATTTTGGTTTAGCGTTTTCTCTGTTTGGTTATGGAGGTGTTTGGCCGAATAGGTTCAACTTAACCCTGTCAACTTAACCCTTCCAGGCTCTGAGGAAGGCGAAATCCGAAATCCGAAACGTCAGCTTGTGCGTAAATAAAGAAATAAAGTAGCACCTCGTGTTTGCTGAACAGAAGTAGAAAGTTGTTAAAGCGTTTGGCTTAATAAATTGCATATAAGTACACCCTTCCAGGCTCTGGAGAAGACGATACTGTCGGAACGTCAGATACTGCTGGATTGTATTGTGTTTTTCTATGGAAGTAAATGTATGGTGTCTAACAACCTCGCGTTTACTGAACAAGAAAACAACGCAATAATCATCTCTGTTAACCATGGCCATTTCCGAAAAAAAAACCTGCTTAGTACAAGACATTGTCGAGTACTTTCGATAGACGAGGTTAAAATGTCTATGATATGAACCTGACAAATCCCACCTTTCGGTTTGTGCCACCTTGTCTTTCCGTTTTTTCTTGGCCAGTCCACCATCAATGGACCGAAGCGAGTGAATATTTCAATAAGTTTACCTGAACGGAAATCGGTGATAGCGTGTGTAGTAAATACATCTTCAGAAGTGAATTCGTACCTTCCTTAATACCAATCGGCAAACCACCAACGAATACCTTCCGACTGTAAATTTCTGGACCCAAATTATACTGATAGTCATAGTTCGCCTCTAGTGCACCGCTTAACAAGGTTTCCAGCTTGAATCTTAACAAAGTTGAACAAAAAACGTGATACCACTGAGTAGATTGCAAGGAAGACGGTGAACTTTCGCGCAAACAACAATCGTCCGCAAGTGTAATTCCTTCCATGAGTTTGCGAACACCTTCACAAATTTTTTCACGGTATTCGTCAAACTGTTCGTCAGTCATATTCAAATCAGGGCGCTAAAATCAATAGATAACTCTAGAGGTTATGTTTCGAAGACTTACTATGCAAAACATTTACAAGGTATAAGACTAACTGAGATTCCCCAAAACCTTCCTATTAACCTCAGCATTGATTGATAATTCGGTGCTTTATTCAAAAAGCAGACACGACGTTGGTATTATAGAATTTATTAGGATAGAATAGCTGACGTTTCGGCAGTTTCAGTTCTTTCAGAGCCTGGAAAGGTCAAAATGAAATGTGTTGTACCCAGACAAACACTTTTGCAACCTCAGTAAATAAAATCTTAACACATGGATTTACACTGCCTTAGTAAACAGCTTTTTTTAAACACTCACCGTTTTGCAATTGCATGTCCTTCAGCTACTTGGTGATAAGCAGCTACCCAAAGTATTATACTGCAGAGAAATGTGCCTCTATTAGGTCAGAATCAGCCTGAGGTATGGCGCTAGGTCACGCGGGATGACAACACACTCCTCCCTGTGGTTCATTTTTGAATTTTGAATTAATCCAAAACACTTCACGAGTTCTACGCGCTAATGTTTTCGATTCGTGCGTAAGGATAGTGACTTCTACTTCAAAATTTTCTCCGTTATGCTACTGCATCCTATGCGCACCTAGTCGAGTGTTTTGTTTCAATTTAGATTTACCGACAAGGTGTTCTTTTATGCGGACGCAGAGCGGTCTACCCGTTTCGCCAACTTATTCGTCCCCGCACGCTTTACAAGAGATTAGATAGACTGCACCCGAACTCATGCAATCATCGCCTCTAACGCTAAGGCAAATTACGCAGCTTTCCGTTGTACATCGATGGTCATATAGGCGGCTGCGAACTGGCTGGCGTCATAGAGTGCCCGGTGGCATTTCTATCACTCTTACAGAATTCGCTAGACCGACCCCTATTAAACAACGTTATTTATTTATTTATTTATTTTTTCTGCACTTATTTCGTTTGAAATAAAGGGCAAGAGGAATGGAGCCTTGTTCTCGCTAGAATTATCGTTCTGGGGTGTAGTTTTTCCTCGATGCCTATGCCGAGAAGCTACAGTTTCGTAGCCATTTGAAATGGCTATTTGACGCGCCGGTATTGCAGCCATAAAACGTTACTTAAAAAGACCGACCTAGAAAATTCCGTAAAAGTGATAGAAATACCATCGGACACTCTAAGACGCCAGCTAGTTCTTAGCTGCATATATGACCTCCTGTGTACAACGAAAAACTCCATAATTTGCACTAACGGTAGAGACGGTGATGCTGTGGCAAAGATCGATATCACTTCCTTTTCGTGTTTTGTCAATTTTTTTTATCAAGCATATTTTACTGTTAAAATAAAGGATAAAACTCTCGGCTCTGATCATTGCTTGAGGGAAGCACCATACATTCTACTTCATTAAACATCGTTTGGAGGTGACTGGATGCATATCTGGCCGTTGCAATGACTAGTGGCGGGCTATCGATGCATCGATCCAGTGCTGCTACTCTCCCAGACAAATTTGGTATCAATTTGCCGATCCCGGAGGAATGGAAGGCGTGGTGAGCCATGGGCGCGGGATCGATTCCACGTGTGTGTTGCAGGGCGCCTCCAAGCACTGATCCACACGCGCTCCTGTATCTTACTGTTATTAGGGAAAATATCAAAGCTTTCATTCATGAACAAGATTATCTTTGCTATTTGTCTTCTATGGGGACCTATGTAGCACAGTGGTTAGATGTGCTGTGGAAGACATATAACGTTTATCCTCTGCCCTCCTTGTACTAAACCTTCTAACTTTACGTGGTCGTCATACTTGTACCAAACTTTTATTTTTAAGATAACGTCAAGGACTTAATACGTCGGTAGAATCGAGCACATAATTGTGTAGGTCAGGTATGCATTCGACTACCTTTTGATACTACGATTGGAATCGAATTGGCCCTGTCATCCATAGGGTTTTCAGCTGTGCTTCTGCGCGATAATTATTCCGGGAAATAGGATCTCCGTTACGAATCGCATCCAAGCGATTCACACAGAGGTATTTGAATGTTGCTACAATCCGTCGATCAAAAGCTAATCGATTAACTAAACAATGGGTTACTCAGGCG